TGCACTGTATTCTTGGTGCTTGGGGGGGGGGGCAACAGTGGGAGGGCTTCTAGTGTCCTGGCCCCACTGCTGGACCTCCTGATGGCACCTGGTATTTTTGGCCACTGTGGATGGGCCATTGGCCTGATCCAACATTGGCTTCTGTTATGTTCTTATGTAAAGCAGAGGATATTCTCCACTCTGTCCGTGCTGCCTCTAGCTTATTAGCTTCTAGCAAGCAAACCATTGCTTCCACTGCAAATAGCAGAAGAATGTTCTGATTCTCTTCATTTTCATCACTGCAATTCCTATGATCATCCTGAAACTGATGGCCAATTTTCGAAATTGTAGCTTTATTTTCTGATTATTTATGCCTGCCACAAACAGACACACACATCCCTTTATTATTATAGATTTTATTTTAAAAAATATAGTTTGTTTTTTACATGTTTTTGAAGCAGAGTACATACAAGTTAATAAAAAATATGCAATAAATGCATCAGCAAAACTATGATAGCTGTATTAGTCTAGCACCTGTTCTTGTACTGGTGTTTTTTCCGTCAGCTCAGACTTTGTCCCAGCAGACATGTTTAAGGAACAGGAGCAAAGTAAGTAGACTGCAAAGTAAGTAGACTGTAAAGCAAGGAAGTTATTCCATTGATTCTTTAGACTGTTCCTAAGTACAGAAAACTGTGGCGGAGTGGGAGGCATGGAACCAATTATAATGATATCTGTAGAAGATAATCTACATTTCATCTCCTTTCCCATTGAAAAAAAACCCTGAAACAAGAGGCAGTGAATAGCTTGTGCCCCTTCTAGCAAATACGTCCATAATGTGGCCTATGTCATACAGCCTCCCTGGCTGTTCTGTTTCAACTGCAAACCTACTTTCAGAGATGCCCCCTTTTCCCTGGGACTGTTGCAGGACGCCCTCTGACACTGGCACTTTACACATACTATCTCTGTTGTCTCAAGAAACTTCATGAACTACATGTCAAGAATATGGAGGTCTCCAGTCTGGGAATACTGAAGGATGATGATTCCACTGACAAGCATCAATGGAGCAAGACACAGAGAGAGCTAGAGGAAATGAAGACCAAGACAGAGCAACAGGTGGGAAGGTGTGGAGGATTTGATCTTTGTGGTCTGCAGGGAATTCATTTCTGGCTTGCTAGACTAATATATTTGCAGTCTGCTAAACTTCATGGTCTTCTAAACAGAGCCAAATCACTAAAATGAAGCAGTTCATAGTGGCATTTTACAAGAAAAGAGAGACACAAGATGGATTGCTGCAAGGCCACTTGGCAGACATCCGCTTGGCTAGGGCAGTCATACTTCTGTTCAACAAGCAATTAATGAAGAGTACTGCAGCACTAAACATTTTTATATCTTGGTAGGTAAGTGTTGGGGGAAACATTCACCCTTCTAAAAGGGAATGTTACACAACAAGCAAGTTGCCAACATTCTTCATAGGGGCTGGATGCCACGGATTTCTTCCACTAGTGGCAGTGGCTTCTTCTGGCACATAGAACCTTTTGCAGGCGAATGAGGACTTTCCACCTGTGGAAGGCTCCATGCACCAGAAGAAGGTGCCAGCAATAGCAGCACAGATTTGCATGATCCAACCCACTGTTTTCAATAGATTGGTGGATCAGAGAGGCATGATTGAAAAAAGATTATCTGACCTTACACCATATGACATTTCATTCATTCACATGTCAGATTCAGTGCAGAGACTGGAAAACTAAGGTAGTAAATACTTACCTACCCTTAGTGACAGAGGATACTATGCAATAGCTGTGAATAAAATTGGGGCATTTTTTACTTTGTCAGAAAATACAGTGGAAGAAAAGGCTGAATGAACTTCAAAAGCTGTATCAAATGGAAAAGGAAGAGGTATGTACACCGTAGAGGATTTCACACAGCTTTCTCATCAAATAACTGTACCAGGGCAGATGGGTCAATTTGTGCAGCCCACATTTAAAAAAGAAAAAACACACAGCCATCCTGGTCATCATCCACATCAACCTCCTAAATGCAGTGCTTTTCTGTCATTCTTGATTATGGCTTAATTGGAATTTGGTGGAGAACGAAGTTCAGTAACAATTTGTATTTTTAATATTTTTAAGTATAATATTTATATACTACCTTAGCCAAAAGAAGCTCAATTTTACAAAAATGACATTTAAGAGACTTTTAAAACTCTAAAAACAAAGTATTAAAACATCCACATAGTTGTTGTTGTTCAGTCGCACAGTCGAGTCCGACTCTTCGCGACCCCATGGACCAGCTCCCGCCAGGCCTTCCGGTCTTCCGCCGTCCTCTGAAGTGTGCTCAATTTCATGTTCGTTGCATCTATGACACTGTCTAACCATCTCATCCTTTGCCGTCCCCATCTTCTTTGACCTTCAATCTTCCCCAGCATCAGGGTCTTCTCCAGTGAGTGCTCCCTTCTCATTTGGTGGCCAAAGTATTTGAGCTTCAGTTTCATTATCTGGCCTTCCAGGGAACAGTCAGGGTTGATTTCTTTTAGGATTGACTGATTTGTTCTTCTTGCAGTCCAGGGGACTCTCAAGAGTCTTCTTCAGCACCATAGTTCAAAAGAATCTATTCTTTGGTGCTCGGCCTTCCTTATAGCCCAACTCTCGCAGCCATACATGACTACTGGGAATCCACATAGTACATATATGCTAGTTGTTTATGCTAGCTATGTTTACGTAAGGCACATTGGTAGTGGGGAAAGACAGACTCAAAATATTTTTAATAAATACATATGGACTGTTGAATCCTCACTGGAATCTCAAATGCCAGTGCAGCCCTATTTAACTGTGGGTCCAAGTGAATGTAGACTACTGTACTGTACCAAGGAAGTTTTACTAATGCAAAATGATAATTCTCAACTCTCTATATTATTTGCTTTCTCCTTCCAGCTGAAGGGTGAAAATGAGAGACTGCGGGCTTCCTTATCGTCTGACCAATGGAAAATGGCCGAGTTCAACAAGCAACAAATGACATCACTCACTGCAAAACTCAGGGAACAGGCCAAGGTCATCCAATCACAGGAGAAAACAGTACGTTTAATATGATCTCCATGTTAAAAGCTCTTTGTTTCCCCTTTGAGGCTCAGCCATGTAGAGTGGGGCTCTTAAGTCTTGATTTGAAACCAAAGTAGGTCATCATGGCTTTGAAGGTCCATTCTGCTGTGAGAACTAAGCACCAAGTCAGCAGAATCACATGATGCAACTTTTGCTGGAATGAATTTATAACCAATTCAAACTACAGGTGGGGAACCACATGTCTGAGTGTTCCCTTGATACAAATTTGTAGTGTATCAAACTCATTCTGGTAATCAGGTTGTTAGGACGAATGTACCCCACTACAATGGAATTTATGCTGGAGCACCACTTAGAGATTCAGGCCCTGTATCCCATTTCCTAGCATAAAGTATGTACCACACATGAGGGCTGCTTATAGGATTTTGTTATGAAATTATTCCTGATTGTATAGATGCTAATAATAAGCAGTTACTAAGCATTGTAAATAAAAGTTGATCATTTAATTACTTATTTTTGCCTTTCAGATTAAACTTCTATCTTCTAGCAAAGCTCGAGGTAATGTCCAATAATGAGGATGAGTGAATTTCTATCAACATAAGCCTGTTCTTTCTGTTTCTTGACCAGCTGTATAATACATGGGCAAGTTTAGTCAGGTGGATAAGGAAATTCTGCAGTGACAGTTATCTTCATTCAAAGCACACAGTAGAGTTAATTATCCAACTCTTGTTCTAAGGCCATTCTGAGCATTTCACCTCTGATCTCAGCGTCTGAAGCATTAAAATTGAGACAGAAGCCTAGAAGCAAGAAAAGCCCAATTTATTCAGGAGTTAGTTGCTGTTATAAATAGTGACAACTACAGATTGTTTTCTAGAGACTAAGATTTTTTGCAGCACCGGTACAAACCACACATCAGGGATTAATGATTAATAGTGTCTCTACAGTTGGAGACTGATTAAAGGGAGAAATTTCATTAGAGCAGAACTGTAAGGTTGAGTTTCTATAGACGGACTTTTCATTATGATGCTAAGAGGCTGAAAGTCCTTAATTGTCTCTAGAGGTTTAGTAGACAATAAGGATTCTCAGGGGTCTTGTTGTAGAAAAAGAGCTGCCGGAGCTCATTAGCATAACTCATTAGCATAACTTATTTGCATATGCCACGCCCCCTGACATCACCGGAAGTGACAGAAGGCCACACCCCCTGACATCACCGGAAGTGTGTCAGAAGGCCCGGCTACTTACCCTCCTGCTTCATCCTCATTCCCAAACGGAATGAGGATCGAAGCAGAGGGCGGGGTAAAGAAGGGGGCGGGGCTTCACCACGTGACAGCCCCGCCCCCTAAAGGTTCTCTTCCGGAGCTCCGTACCTGAGAGCTCCCCCCCGACTAGAGCCCTGAGGATTCTTATTTCTGGAATGAGAGCAACCTCTCCTTTCTTCTCTGTTATTGGTAGAGGCCAGCATACTGTCATTGATTAGCAGAAAATGTAGTCCAACAGTACATTAATCCTTAAATTTTTGCAGAGCTGTAAAGAAAGACTGAAAGTCTTGGAATAATTTCACATTTGGCACTTAAAGTGCTTTCTGCTGGTAGTCATGTATGAAAAACCACAATGTTAAATCCACTTATATCACGTTTCGAAATCAAGCAGTAGCCAAGCAGGAAGTTGGTTTTATAATGAGATTTTTGTGTCACCTGTAGACAAATGCATTTATGTTTGAAGCACAGTTTTAATCATCTGGTCACCATTTTTTCCATACAATTATACACATTTGCTGGATGAGGGCACCAAATGCCTAGCCTGCCTCCAGCTGTGTCTTTCCAAGGTCCAGTGCAGAAAAGAGAGAAAAATTCTCACCTTTGGTCCACTTGATTGGCCTGACCCCTTCAGCCTTTCACAGTACCATACAGCCAGCCAAAAAGGGTGAGGCTGTGGGTAGCAATATGGAACCCATGGTTGTCCTAGTCTTCTTGCTCCCCTCCTATTCCTCCCAGGGCACAAAGAACAGCCCTGCTTATTTTAGGAGCCGGATTTAACTAAAGTGGGTGAAAGTTCCTGAGTGATCATTAAAGTGCTTGAAAAAGTACATGTGACTTCTGACCTTGAAGTATTTTTATTGGTGCTCCTCCTGAGATTGTAATATTGGAGATTTGCTTACAGGTTTGCTTACTGTGATTCTGTCAAATAGGGATTTCAGTGAGAATTGTTTACTGAAATCTGCAATCACTGTTTTTGTTCCTCAAAGTCACTGTATGATCATCTAGGCACTTTTCAATTATTTCATGCCTGTTGGCATTTCAAAGACCAGTCTTGCATATTTATTTCTTAATGATGAAGTGGTTTCATGTCATAAATGCTACAAATCTGATGCTGCATGGCAACATATCAAATATGCACATGAATATACCTACATGACATCTGCATGCAAAGTAATGAACCTACTAAAATTTGGCAGAATGCCATGAATTCCTGAAGAAACTTTTTTCCCCCCTTGTTTCTGAATGAAAAGAAGTGGATTTCTTCTGGAAGATTGGAGATCAGCTATGTTGCATCCAGGAACATGTGCACACAGCGCTGGTACTACCAGCTAGAATTTCAATAATTTGCCTCTCCTTTTTTGCAGAAATCCAGGAGGTTCCTAAGGCTGAAAAACCAGAAGAGTCTACTGAAGAAGGTATTTTTCACCAGTTTCAGTTACTGGTGTTAACCAGGTCTCCAATTTCAAATTTACTGTGTCTCTCAGCAAAAAAAAAAAAAAAAGGAGGGAGGGAGGAGGGAAGGGAGGGAGCTCTAACTCTATGGTTTCCCACAAGGTAACAAAAAGTATTACATACCAGGGCTTCTTCCACATGGACAGTTGTCCTCTGCACTCTCCCCTCCCCCCAAAAGGAGCAGTGGTTTTTTTTTTTAAGATTCCAGTGACAAGATTCCTCACAACATCTTAAGAACATAACATAAGAGACGCCAATGTTGTATCAGACCAAAGGCCCATCCAGTCCAACACTGTGTCACACAGTGGCCAGAAATACCAGTGCCATCAGGAGGTCCACCAGTGGGGCCAGGACATTAGAAGCCCTCCCACTGTTGACCCCCCCCCCCAAGCACCAAGAAGACAGGGCATCACTTGCCCCAGAGCCCCTATCTATACCTTGTGGCTAATAGCCACTGATGGACCTCTGCTCCATATACCTATCTAATTCCCTTTTGAAGCCGTCCATGCTTGTAGCCGCCACCACCTCCTGTGGCAGTGAATTCCATGTGTAAATCACTCTTTGGGTGAAGAAGGACTTCCTTTTATCCGTTCTAACCCGACCACTCAGCAATTTCATGGAGTGCCCATGAGTTCTTGTATTGTGAGAAAGGGAGAAAAGTACCTCTTTCTCTACCTGCTCTATCCCATGCATAATCTTATAAACCTCAATCATGTCTCCCCTCAGTCGTCGTTTCTCCAAGCTAAAGAGCCCTAAGCACTTTAACCTTTCCTCATAGGGAACTGCACACAGTATTCCAAATGAGGTTGCACCATTGATTTATATAGGGGCATTATGATATTGGCTGATCTGTTTTCGATACCCTTCCTAATAATCCCCAGCATCGCATTGGCCTTTTTTTTTCATGAAGTTGCCCACCTTCTAGGTTTTCCCTGGCTTCATTCTGTTTCTTCCCACCCCTGCTTTGGTACTATCTTTCCTGAAGGATCATACTCAAAGAAAGTTTGGAGAGAGTTTCAAAGGGAATGGGTAAATATCTGTACCTCCCTGCCCATATCTGGTGCTATTTCATCTTTTATTTCCCCTCCTTCCTACCATTCCCCCCTCCACTGATGGGCTTTTTGCTAGGCTATTTTTAAAATCCACAACCACTCCAACCCCCATGCACAGCAGCAATGAGTGCACAATGGGGAATTGTCCTTGTGTGGAATCAAACTTTGTTGTAATAGACTTGCCCTCTGTTGATTGACATTTAAGGAGTAAACTGACAACGGGCTGAAGGAGATCCAAATAGCAGCTATGTAATTTTCCTCTGTATTAGACCTGGTAAATAAAAGCAACTGTATTTGGGATATCTAGGACAAAGAGCAGAACAATAGACCACCACAGTTCTGAACTCTCGACCTGTGATAATGGGTTTTCTTTCATAAATGGACCAAGAAGTGTTAGCTAGACAGAGAGTGTGATCCTACCAATAAGCTACTATAACATAAACACCAGCTTGTGCTGCAGTACTTAAAGCTGCATCTTGACTCTGCCAAGTAGGCAAAGATGCTATGCTATATTTCCCAGCACATTGCTGTTAGGACACAGCACTTGTGCTGGGGCCAAGGAGAGGAGATCTAATGGGCTAAGTCATCCTATGCCAAGGAATGGCGAGCAGGATAGCACAGCCCCCTAAATATTGGCCGGGTGCTCCCGCCCACCCAGATGCCCAAGACTCTGCTGATAGGGCCGGCGACAGGTCAGGCGAGCCCCAGTTTCCTGCTTTTGGTGCTGGCCCACCCCCTCCGGCCAGCCCGCCGTGGACACTGTCTCTCTTACCCTCCCCGCAGTACCGCAAATAGGCCTCTGGGTGATTCAGGGTCCCAGCATGTCCAGGTCCTCCCAGCCCTTTTCCTCAGTGCAGTTGTTTATCCAGCCAAGCTCTGTGTATGTTTTCCCATACAAGAGTGGCATACAGATCTGGTGTAGTATAATGGCTAAGAGCATGACTCATGAGTCAGGATACCACTGCTTCCTACCATTAACCAGGAATTCGCTATCTGCCCTTAGACAAGCCACTCTGTCTCCACCTCAGCCCTTTGTCTGCAGTGTGGGGGTTAATAATACAGGCCTAAGGGTCAGCTGCGGTGGCTCAAGTGGTTAAGATGCTGAACTGCAGGCTGTGGAAGGTCAGTAGTTCAGCAGTTCAAGACCCGAGTTGCCGCATGGCGGAGTGAGCTCCCGTCTCTAGTTCCAGCTCCTGCCAACCTAGCAGTTCGAAAGCAAGAAATTGCAAGTAGATAAATAGGTACCACTTCAGTGGGAAGGTAACAACGTTCCGTGCGCCTTGGTGTTTAGTCATGCCGGCCACATGACCACGGAAACATCTTCGGACAGCGCTGGCTCCTCGGCTTTGAAACGGAGATGAGCACCGCAACCCTAAAGTCGGATTCGACTGGCTTTCGAGCAAGGGAACCTTTACCTTTTTAAGGGTCAAACTGCACCTTGTACTGGAAATCTGTTAAAGAAGGCAATCGTATTGTCTCTTTTAGCCAATAGCAGTTCATACATTATGGCCCTGATCCAATTGCCCCTTTCCCATGACTGTTATTTTTCCAGATCATGCGGTCAAGGGACACCCCCCCCCCATATGAGGTGTAATGGGACTTGGAGATATTAAGTGCTTTAAACAGAAACACTTGCTCTAAAGTGTTGTATAAATGCTAACAATGAAAGGGTCATCTCAGTGTTACTGACAGTGGTGGGAAAATATTTTGAATATTGCCTGAAATAAAATTTTAGATAGTAGCCTTGTACAAGGATATGAAAGTAATACCAAAGCTTTAGAATGCTAGAAACAACTTGAGATGTTTTTTTCTATTCTAGTCATTTTTCTCTCTCTACAGAACTGGAAGATACTCTGGATAGGAAGAAAAGGGTACTAGAAGCATTGAGAAGGAATCCAAACTTACTGAAGCAATTTCGGCCAATTCTGGAGGAGACACTGGAAGAGAAACTGGAGAGCATGGGAGTGAAGCAGGTAAGTTCCTAGACATGGAGAAAGGATAGCACTCATCCCTTTGGGATAGCTTTGCCAAGAATCATAGTGCCTATTAAGTATCCAGTGCCCATTAAGTGTCCACTCCACAGTGGCTGCTCTTCCTTCCTTCAGCACTAGGAGGAGGAGGAGGAGATTGGATTTATACCCCGCCCTTCACTACCCAAAGGTGTCTCAGAGCGGCTTACAAACTCCTTTCCCTTCCCCTCCCCACAACAGGCACCTTGTGAGGTAGGTGGGGCTGAGAGAACTCTAACAGAAACTGCTCTTTTTCCAGAACAGCTGTGCCAGAGTTACGGCTTGCCCAAGGTCATCCAGCCAGGTGCAAGTGGAGGAGTGGGGAATCAAACCCGGTTCTCCCAGATTAGAGTCCGCGCACCTAACCACTACACCAAACTGGCTCTCCTCAGGAATCTTCATGTTTGAGGAAATGGCTTGTGAAAGGGAGATCATGTCTCTCGCACTGCCCCTCCCCCCTGGAAGGAAATCCGGGGAAACTGAAACTGCATAATTTCTTTTCATGAAGTACTAGTTAAGCAGTATTCTGCCCCAGTTCCTCTGAGGTCCAAGAAATGCCTTCCCTCACAGTACTTGCAGTGATTGTAGCATAAGAACAAGTTGTCATTTCTCCTTATGTATGGATTAAGAGAAGATTTGGAATGAAGAAGTAGAAGATCAAGCCATCGAAAGCAGGCAATGTCACAAGCATTCGAACTTTAGTCTAGTGATTCAGTCTCACAAAGCAGCAATTATGCCCTGAACCCCTTGGCTGCATACCGATTTTTGCCAGTCTTTAGTACAGAGAAGAGCCTGGACTGAACTGTTCACCAATTCACCTTGCCAGGCTAATGTGACTGATATGATGGAACAGACATTTGGACACTATATAATCAAGGCCGGTGTCCAATTTGCCCTATCTGGGCAAACTTATAGAGAGGGCGGTGGCGTTACAGTTACAGGGCTTTCTGGAGGATGCTTCAGTCTTAGATCCCTTCCAGTCCGGTTTTCGCCCGGGCCATGGGACTGAGACGGCTTTGGTCGCCCTGACTGACGATCTCCGAAGGCATCTGGATCGAGGTGGTGTGGCGGCACTGGTGTTGTTAGACCTGTCAGCGGCTTTCAACATGGTCGACCACCAGTTGCTGACCCACCGCCTCGCCGACGTGGGGATTCAGGGGCTTGCCCTTCAGTGGTTTGCCTCTTGCCTGCAAGGTTGGGGACAAAGGGTGGTTCTCGGGGACCAGAGCTCCCGATGGTATCCTCTTAAGTGTGGGGTGCCACAGGGAGCAGTGTTGTCCCCGATGCTATTCAATATCTATATGCGCCCCCTTGCCCAGATTGCCCGGAGTTATGGGCTTGGGTGTCATCAGTATGCAGATGACACCCAGCTCTATCTGATGCTGGGTGGCCGGTCGGACTCGAGTCCTGATGACCTTCATCGGGCATTAGAAGCTGTGGCTGGTTGTCTCCGGCTGAGCCGATTGAAACTAAACCCGGCGAAGACAGAGGGCCTGGGCCTGGGTCGGGGCGGGGTTGGGGCTCCTCTCCCGACCTTCCATGGGGTACCTTTGGTGCCAGCGTCTGAGGTTCGGAGTTTGGGGGTGCTTCTGGACTCCACACTAACAATGGAGGCCCAGGTGGCAGCCACTGTCAAATCCGCCTTTTTCCATCTTCGGCGGGCTCGGCAGTTGGTCCCCTACCTTGACCGTGATGACCTGGCCACAGTGATCCACGTGACGGTCACCTCTTTCCCCATATGTTCCCCCAAGAGCACTACGGTCAGGGGCCCAAAACTTATTAGTCATCCCGGGCCCCAAGGATGTCAAACTAGCCGCTACTAGGACCAGTGCTTTTTCGGTGGCGGCTTTTTCGGTGGCGGCTCCTACCTGGTGGAACGAGCTCCCAGGGGAGATCCAGGCCCTGCGGGATCTTGTGCAGTTCCGCAGGGCCTGCAAGACGGAGCTCTTCCGCCAGGCTTTTGACCAGGAGCCACCGCCCCTACTATACTACCACCACCCTGAGGTCCTGAGGAAACATCCTAGTATGGAAGAAGCCTTCGGCCGTCTTCTTGGAACTTCTGACATACGACCCGCTATCCCTAGATTATGGAAGTCACTGAGCACTTTGTTCAAGTAGGATTTTTAAGATGTATTATATGTTTTTAAATTATTATGTATATTATTGTTTTATTATGGCAAGGTTGTCTTGCCCCTGTAAGCCGCCGTGAGCCCACTGGGGAGGGCAGGGTATAAATACGAAAAATAAATAAATAAATAAGGCCTGAATGTAACTAAAGCACTTGGAAAATGATACCCCAGTCAAGGGTGTAGACTTTCCAATTTCGGGGGGGCTGGGGCTGGGCCAGAGGCATTGCTATGCTAGTTCCTTAAAAGAACCAAAGCCCAGTGACATCATAGGGAGGAGCCAGTGACATCACAGGCCATTGTCACTATCTATGGAGGCAGAACCATGTGGGATTTAGGAACAGGCTCCCCAGAAATTTAGGGGGGCCTGGGAACCCCCCTAGCCATGCCCCTGGGCTGGGCTAAACCCAGGAAAAGGTGGGAGTTGGCCAGTGGTTATAGTGGTATCTCAGAGTTATGGGTTTTCCGGGCTGTATGGCCGTTGTCTTGGCATTGTAGGACCTAACATTTCACCAGCAGCTGTGGATGGCATCCTCACAGGTATAACACAGAAAGATGGAGTACTCTCTCTGTCAAGGTGAGAAGGTGTGTCAAGGCCTTGTTCATGCAGATGGGCTTACCATTTAAAAATGAAATGGAAATTGAAAGAAGAGCTTAGGAGTGGTTGAAGCAGGGGCCCCCCACTACCACCATGAAAAAAACAACTGTTCTCAATCAAGGATATATAGACCCAAGTAAAATAAAATAGAGACACACTTTCCCCAAAAATGTAAACCAGAGCCCAGCAAGTATGTTGGGCCCAACAGAGGCTTTGCAGTCTCATTGTTGCTCCATTGAAAATGGGTGGAGACAGCCAGGGTTAAGGGCTATACTTTCTTTTCTGATAGACACCAAACATATTCAAGAACTGATATGTTCTGGATATCAAAAACCTTAGTTATTAGCCTAGAGCATGCAAAGATACAAACAAAAACCTGATGGACAAAACCACAAAAGAGCTTCTTCTCCTGTTGCAAGAAATGTCATCAGATCTGTTTCCCTACTCAGCGTTTTCTGTCTCAAAGAGATCTGTCTTCCTAAAGACTCTCTATACATGTGGGCCCATTCACAGGAATAACATAAATTGTGAAATGCCTTCAGAGAAGATCAATCACTGGGCATCATCACTTACTCTATCTGGAAAAGTCAAATAAGAGCCTAATTCAGATATAGTTCAGTGTTCATATTTGCATCGTATCAAATATCCCATATAGTCCAATCATAGGGTTGCCAACTCTGGTGTGGGAGACTTGGGGATGGAGCCTTGGGGGGCAGGGTTTGGGGAGGGGAGAGACCTCAGCAGGGTAAAATGCTAACACAGAAACAAGATCTATGGAGTGCCTTGGAACTAAGCCTGTTGTGATGAAAGTATTGGGAGTAAAACAAGCCTATCATGGTGGGGTGGGGCTTGTCAGAAGAATCTCCCTTCGTTCTGAAGACGTGTGTGTGCACAGGAAAGCTTAATTAATTTTTGAGCTTGTATTTCTCATATCCCTGATACTATATTCATCCACAAAGAGATTACCAAAATAACAAAGGCCCCTATCTCAATTATACTAGAGTATACTGCATTAATTTCTAAGAGAAATTTCTAATTTCTGAAAATTTCTAAGAGAGTACCAGAAAAACATCTACTAAACATCTAATTTCTAAGAGAAATTTCTAATTTCTGAATTAATTTCTAAGAGAGTACCAGAAAAACATATACTTCTGTTTCATTGGGGTCATTATGGCTCCTGATTCTGCCACTTTCTCCAGATACTTGGTGACATATCTCTGCAGGTCTGCTATTGGTTCACTGACTTCAGCCTTTGAGAAGTTCCTGGTGGTGATGCACTGTGCTAAAACTGATGCTGCTTTTGGAAGAGCAGTTCTTCAGAGCCTGTTTCTTCAAGACGACCTGCAGATAACATCAGGTACATGGCTCCCTAGTCATCAAATCACCGCAGACTGTGACTGCAGCCATGAAATTAAAAGACGCCTGCTCCTTGGGAGGAAAGCGATGGCGAACCTAAACAGCATGATAAAAAGTAGAGACATCACCCTGCCAACAAAAGTCCGCATGGTCAAAGCAATGGTATTCCCAGTAGTCATGTATGGCTGTGAGAGTTGGACTATAAGGAAGGCCGAGCGCCGAAGAATAGATTCTTTTGAACTATGGTGCTGGAGGAGACTCTTGAGAGTCCCTTGGACTGCAAGAAGATCAAATCAGTCAATCCTAAAAGAAATCAACCCTGACTGTTCCCTGGAAGGCCAGATAATGAAACTGAAGCTCAAATACTTTGGCCACCAAATGAGAAGGGAGCACTCACTGGAGAAGACCCTGATGCTGGGGAAGATTGAAGGTCAAAGAAGACGGGGACGGCAAAGGATGAGATGGTTGGACAGTGTCATCGACGCAGCGACGCAACGAACATGAATTTGAGCCAACTTCAGAGGACAGCGGAAGACAGGAGGGCCTGGCGGGAGCTGGTCCATGGGGTCGCGAAGAGTCGGACTCGACTGTGCGACTGAACAACAACAAATACTGCATTAAAGGAGCTGCGGTGGCTCAAGTGATTAAGACGCTGAACTGCAGGCTGTGGAAGGTTGGTAGTTCAGCAGTTTGAGACCCGAGTGTGCCACATGATGGAGTGAGCTCCTGTCTCTAGTTCCAGCTCTTGCCAACCTAGCAGTTGGAAAGCAAGAAATAGCAAGTAGATTAATAGTTACCACTTCAGTGGGAAGGTAACAGCGTTCCATGCACCTTGGTGTTTAGTCATGCTGGCCACATGACCACAGAAACGTCTTCGGACAGCGCTGGCTCTTCGGCTTTGAAACAGAGATAAGCACCACAACCCTAGAGTCAGATTCGACTGGCTTTCGAGCAAGGGAACCTTTACCTTTTTAATACTGTATTAAATTAATTTCTAAGAGTACTGCTAGCTCAAAAGAAAAACCATTATCATTAACTAAGGGTACATATAAATTTCAGTTGTATGTTGTAAAACACATGAGAGGATCAATGCATGGATTTTCAGTGACCAGAAAAGTTGTACAGAGGGAAACTGTGATAAATTTTTCACAAATGATTTTGGACACTGGGGGAAAAGTAGAAAACAAAACTGTTCTCCTTTTCAGTTGTATTTTTGAAATGGTGCATTTCCAATGGAACATTTTAACAAGCTGTTGCCTAATGTTATAAAGGAGGAGATAGTGCTAGTAAACTGAATAGATTAATTGGGCTTGTCTTGAGTCAGTTAAATGTATTGTGAGAATCAGATTAATGAAAAAATAAATAACTTGTTTGGGAATACTGACTATCTACATAGTTCAGAGTCTTTGAATTAAATGAAATACTAAGCTCAATAAACTGTAAATCATACTTTCTGTCTGGAAGAACAGGGGCAGAAAATACCTGAAGCCACCTATGCAGGCTCCAATCCATCCTGTGACTTTATAGAATGTTTCAGATTAAGATACAAAGAACCCAAGCTGGTGATAAACTACTCCTTCCTGAATTGTCTTGCTGTGCCCGAAGAAGCAATAGGAAAACAACTGGTGATAGGAGTAAAGATGTGGTTTAGGAATCGCCTGATGTCAAACAGAGGTAGAATGGATGGGGATTGCTAAAAGCACAATCTCAAGTAGAGTGACACCACTCTCAGTCCACTGAAGTCAGTGGGTTTAGAAGGATGTAATTCAGTTTAGGATTGCAGTGTAAAACTAATAGGGTTGCTGTGGTGATCTGTATTAGATGTTGGTGTTGCTTGGGTGGTGTGGAATGACTCCTCTTATTTATTGTTTTAATGATTTCTGATTTTATGTCATTTTGTTTCAGTTTGCATTGGGGGACCAGACATGGTCAAACGACCATCTAGAATTGTACTAAATAAATGAATAAACTATCTCCATCAGCTGAAGAGAAGCTCATCTGACTCGTTGGTCTCCCACCCACAGAGCAAGATGGTGCCTAAGCAGCCCTTGGGTGGCAGCTGGAGAGAGTTGCACTCTGCACCCAACAACCTTTTTGGAGACCCATGTTGGGTGAGGAGCAAATTTCTCCAACTGCCACCAGAAGGCTGCTTATGAACCATCTTGCACAGTGTGAAGGAAAGAGCTGCCCACCATCCATTTTCCACTGATTGTTGCTGAGTTTTTTGCCATCGCCATTACAAGATTACTTTAGAGCAGTTTTCAGTTATAACACTGTATTTATCTAATGATTTTAGGCCACCTCGAGTGCTTTTTAAAGATATAGAGACTTTCCAAAATAAACAAAGTTTTTTGTTTCTTCTGCGTGGTTATAGAATGTAATGGCTAGAACCTACTAGGCTTTCTCCAGTTAAATGAGTGGGAATGAAATAGAAGGCACCTGAAGCTGCCATTAGGTTGTGTCCCTTGTGACTTAGCCCACATGATTTATGTTGATCATGATTGGTTTTCTTACAGGGTACAAAAGGTATCTCATCCCAAAGCTATAAAAATTTGAAAGATGTGATAAAAACCCAACAGGAGCAGAAGGCAAAAAAATTTCCACATCTCCTCACACTGAGAGACAAACTTGAGCAAGCAGTGAAACAGAAACTTAGCTGGAGTCAGAAGGCTGAAAATGGAGTGTCAGTTCCATTCCCTGAAATATCAGGTAAATTTTCATGATACACTTGTTGATTCTAGAACTCTGATTCCAAACACCTTATTTTTGTCTACCACTCCCTCTTCTACAGTTTCAAAGTAGCTTACAGTATATTTAAAGAATAAAATTGCTTTAATTGGTAGATTGATCTGTTAAATTGAGTCTACGGATATAAATGCTTACCTGAATAATAAACATTGATGGTCCACTCTTTTTCTATATATATAAAAAAAATAATTTACTTCTCCTTGGCTAGAGGAAGTTGCCAATATACCATAGCAAACAACAAAACTATTTGATAAAACCAATACAATACCGATACCTTTTTTTGCCATTAGGTTGCAGCTGACTTATGGCGACCCCATAGGGTTTTCAAGGCAAGAGACGTTCAAAGGTGGTTTACCATTGTCCTTCTGTATATAGCAACATTGGACTTCCTTGATGGTTTCCCATCCAAGTACTAACCAGATCTGAGCTTGCTTAACTTCTAAGAACTGACAAGATTGGGATAGCCTGGGCTATCCAGGTCATGGTGATCAAGTAGTAGGTGATGTGAAATACTCTTGAGACCCTCTAACCACTACACCATACAGGCCTGTGTTCTGGCTCTCTCTTTTATATTATTCATGGTTGAATATTCTTATAGCTCAAGGGTAATGTAAGCCTTGAATATCAAAATGCACTTGGCTATTCAGTGTTATGATAATAGCCCTTCTCACTGGGGTTTCTAATATATTCGCTTTCTTTTCAGTTAAAACCCAAAGGAGCCCACATTCCTCACTTCAAGTTACATCTTCTAAATCCAAAGAGTTGCAAGTTGAATTACAGCCATATGACTTGGAAGTGCCTAAACCAGCTCCTCGGAGCAAAGTCAGCTCCATGACTAGTTCACTGAAGGCTCCCAGGCTATCTTCTCCAAAGCAAGCCAAAAGTAACCCCCTCTCCCCTCAGCCCCCTGCTGTCCACCATCTTAGGTGAGTTCTGTGTTACCCTCTGCCCTTAGGCCTTGCTAGTTGGTTTTGATTTGGAAAGTACTTAGCCCTCTGGGATCGTTCAAAGTGCCATTGTTGCTTGGTGGCCAGGACCATCACCACCACTATCAAACCCATACAGCAGCACAGTTGAGAAAGTTTATTCCTCTAATTTTTCATCTAGTATGTTTCTTTCTCCAGTACTTCACCTTTCAGCTCTGAAGAAGAAGAATCTGAGGAAGAATCGAGCTTTACTTCTCCAAAACTCAGGGCCCTCAAGACAAAACCGGATCCTCCCAAAGCGATGCAGGATGAAGAGAGTGACTGGGATTCATCTGACATAGAGCTATCTCAGGGGAAAAGCAATAAAGGAAGGGTTCTCTCTGTTTCAGCTACACCTTCAGGTGAATCAAAATAGTGTCCTGTAAGCAAAGAAAGTTAAGGCAATGCTTAAGGCTGCTCTTTTGTTCTGTTGTTGTTGTTGCCTAGTCATGCTTTACTATAGTCTGGTAAAATAAAGGCTCTCTGGGCTAAAGAGTAGAAATGGAATGCAGTTATATTATGGAGTTGAGTGGTTTCTGTGTTTGTAAGGTCAAGACTGTTATTAAGATCAAGACTGCAGCACATATGAAATACTGAAAAGGCTTCTGCTTTTCATGTCTCAGGCAAGGATACATTCCCCAGAGACAAAAAATCCAAGTCAAGCAAAATAAGAGAATTTCGATAGAAAAGTAATATAAATCATGACATGTAAAGAAGTAATATGCACAATACTACAAAATCAGCAGTAGAAAACAACATCAAAAGTAAAGCAATTCCAGTCACAAATAAATATTACGCCTACATAAATAGTCTTAGCAAATATAAGCCACTTATCAAATGTCCATAAATACTCAAAAAGTGGTACAATAAGGTGACAAGTAAGAGGCATAATTAGGTGAACAGTAAGTCGCTATTTTCTGTACTCAACGGTAGTTTGATCAATGATTCAGACTGTTTCAGAGAGCAACCTTTATCAAGAGGTATTTTTATCTTCCTCCACAAGAACAGTAACAATGAGGTGCAGTGCCCAGTATTAATAATAAATTGACTCAGCCGAGTTGCCTCAAAACAATTCCACAATGCAATGGTACAGCATATAAAAGGCTTAGTCCTCTCCCTTGGTGCGGCTGTTAGTTACTCATCTGCCTACAGCTGCCAGCAAAGTAGGCTGAATTAATGTGTGACAAGGCTGCATGGAAAGGACTTACCTAAGAAGACATTCCCCATGGCCTCCATCTCATTTAAAAAGTATTTGCCATGTATTCTGAAGTAATGGGATGTAGTGTTAGCATACCAAAAGCCTGTGACACAAGAGAGTGTACCACCGGTGTGCTAACATTGCACATAAATGGCACAGCATATTTAAATCTGGCCCGTAATTTGAAAAATAGGCAGGAAGAGTCTGTCATGTGAAGCTGGCCACAAATTCCACTGGAACATCTCTTTGGTCAAACATAAGCAATCTGTTTCTTAGTTCTGTCCTTCTGAGAGCTTTTACTGTCACCATCAATGTTCCCTCTAAGCTGTGAAGTCTTGTGAGCAAAAATTCTACTTTGTGAGCTACTGGCATTAAAGTTGTGAGCAAGCAATTTGGCTACTGTATAAATAAGTTTGCTCTGGAGCCATCCTTCCTGAGCTTAGACAAAAATGTGTGAGCCGGAGGCTAAAAAACTGTGAGCTAACAGTAAGGGAACACTGGTCACCATAGAGCTTTTTTGGATTGAAGTGACCTTTACAGAAGCCACTTGTTATAATGATCAAGTCTAGATTCTGATTCTGAATGATTTCATGCTTCATACAGAGACATTGGTGCAATCAATGGCTAAAAATCTGGAGAGGACTCTGACTATGCCAGGAAGAAAACCTGCTGGTGGAGTGAAACTCTTTTCCATCCCGACCAAAGAAGATCTTAAACCCAGCCACTCCATTAAAAAACTTCAGGTACTACCTATGGTACATATTAGCTTGAAAAGTCAGATTGTATGTGGTATTCTAGCTCTCTGTAGTTTATCCTTCAAAAACATAGATGCAGCTTCTACTCATGTATTATATACTAAGAGCTGTTTTGGTGATGAGAACAGCCTCATTGCAGTCATTATTTCGAAAGCAAGAATAGGCGGGAGATATTTAGGGACTTCTTAAAAGAAGACTGTAAGAGTCAGTCTGCTGGAACCATTTAACTTCCTGTAGCATTTCATAATAATTGTTTATGACGTACTTAGAAATAGGATATGAGCACGTATTTTTGTAAAGCCATGAAACGCAGGAGATAGTATACTCACAGGGCACAACTCAACAGGAAGTTCCCATAAAAATGTTCTCCCACACCTCCCACACATTTCCTAGGTGATTCCTGTGCTTGTGCTCTTGAAAACCCACTTCAGTAAATAGGAAAGAGGAGACAGAATCCTAATAATCAGTTTTATAGTGTGTGATAGCCAATAGGAATCTTTGCTATACAGCTCTCCATGAGGGCTGTTATGGACAGATCCAGATGTGTTTACGAGCATGGGTGACCTGTTTGAGCTTGCAGTAAAACACCAAACTCCAGACAGCAGATATACACCTCCTGAAGTGGTGGTGGGGACTACATGTAGCATGTAGATGTTACAGTACCCTGTTACCTATCAGTGGGGGCGATCTATGGATGTCTTTCCCAAATATAAAAGAGAAGTGCAGAGGCTCCTTAAAAGATTAGCAGCGTTTATTCCAGCAGGAGCTTTCATAGGTCAATGCTCACTTCTTCAGATACAAATTAGAGGAAAATCATTTGCACACAGTTGTCAGGAAAATTACAGTGGAGAGGCTGGGTGTGGAACCTGTCATAATGATTTTGGGTGTAATTCTCTGTGTAAGGGACTGGAACAGATTAGGTTGCTACACGTCATGTGTGATGAGAGAGGTCAGAGGTTTCAGCCTCTCTCTCATGGGGTGCAGATAAACCAAAGTGTAATGAAGTAGGATAAAGAACAACTAATTGAGGAAGAAGCAGTTAGAAGCATAAAAACTGACTAGCCCAGTTGTCCTGGCTGGGTAGTAAGCTTGATTCATCCCTCAGGCAGAAGGGGCCTTATATAATGTAAGTGAGAGATACTGAGATACTGTGTTTCATTTTATTTTCCTATATTCTTCATACTTTTCATGTGTCTGTAATTTGCAAATTCCTTTCCATAGATTTAAAGCTATTAGCTATTCATCCACAGTTTCTCACAAAAAGAACCCATGTGAGAATAAAAGTCAGTTCCCTCTTGACACTATAAAGGGAAAAGTTACCACATCTCTCATGCAGCTCGCCGATAGCAGGTTGTGCAGTATCCACTTCTCTGGAAGTGTTGTTAGCTGTTTTATCCAAGAAGTAATATATTTGTTTCATGCAGTATTATTTTGGGGACATACTAAAACAACATGACCTAGGGAGTCTACTTGATCCGGACAATAAAGACATTTGCATTGCTCTGCAGGAATTCTGTAATATCTCCCTTTTACCTCAGCTGAATCAGTTAACCAGTGGAAATAGTCTGGCAAGGAAAAATTACCATTAAATGGTATCTGGAAGTAGAATGGAGAACATATTATTTGTGTCCTTGAGCAACAAGGACCAATCTTCATTTAAGATCATATTTTGAAACTTTTTACAGTTTACATCTTCTTTGTGGTCTCTGTGCATCACACCTCTGGGACATAGTGCACCTGTGCCAACTCCAATTGGTATAATCAAAAGCAAAAGGGATTTTCACACCTGCTCCTGAGTCACGTGCAGGGCTCCAGTGCGCATGACTACAGGAAGGGCACGACAATCCCACCAGTTTTCTTCTGACTGTTAGGATCTTCTCCACTCCAGTCGGTATTTTTTCTTCCTGGCCTACTTGGTTTTTCTCTTTTTCTTCTTTTTTGTGGATTATCTAAACGGAAAAGAAAAACTTACAGTTCGGGACTGTACTTTGAGTGAGCACTCTGCTTTGGCAGGTTTTTCCTACCCCTGGCCTATGGCCAAACGGTGTTTGAAGCATGGCAGTAAGACCCCCCCCCCCCCCCCCCCCCCCCCCGACAGACACTCTCTTTGCCTTTTGTGCCTCGGGGAAGCCCACCGTGTGGACTCTTGTTCTCATTGCTCTAAATTCTTGAGGCAAACAAGAAAGAACAGAGCTGTGAGGCTTCGTACCGCCTTACTGGAGTCAGCACTCTGATGGCATTGCCTCAAGACACCTCAGGCCACACTTTGATGTCGACCCCTGCCTCAGTGTTGACAGCTGCGATGTCCCTGACATTGGCTCCCACCGATGTTGATCGACCGGTGCTGAAACGCTCAGTCCTGACATCTACATTCGAAGCCCACACTCCCACTAAGAAACGACAGGAGGGCAAGGACACTAAACCAGTCAAGCTGAAGAAGCACAAGAAGGGCTCCTCTTGTAGAGTTCCTTCGACTCCTTGGTAAATGCCAGAACTGACTTCTGTGCCTGGAGCCATTTTGCTTGACTCACCAGGCCATGGTCAATCACAGGGTGCACTATCCTCACCCTTACCACGTTTGATATAGCTCACTGACTCTGAGCAGGACATCAATTTGACTCAAGTATCACAATCCTCCAGTGTCGAGAGTCTTCACTTGGGCCGGGGAGGCCATATCTTTCCGCAACCCTCCCCCCACTGTTCGTCTATCAATGACCAGGACCTTTATGGGGCATACCCATTGTCGGCCAACATGCCCTGGCTTCCACCCTGTATACCAACAGATTGGGACCAACAATCCACATCTTCTCGAATGTCTCGGTATCAAGAGCCTGCTCTGACACCAGAATACTTGCTGCCCCAGCCATTGATAAGGGTGGACAAGTGCCCTAAACAGACGCCTGTAACAACACAGAAGGTGGTTCCGTCGGTACTAGGGATGTGCATTCGGTTCTGAATCGAATGCACCCCTGAAAATGGCCCATTTGGGCCCCTTTCGAGTTGCTGTGAGCCAATTCAGATTCTCTGATCTGAATCAGCTTGCCACCAAATTGCCGCCGAATTCGGCCCCATTATATCCTAAGAGTCATTGAAGTCAATGGCAAAAACATAGGGTATATTCTGGGGGCTGGAGGGGAGTGAGTTTGAGGGAGAGGCTCCGAACTCACAGGATAGCTGTTGGAGCCTTTCCTCAAGATACCCACCAAGATTCAAGAACATTGGACCAGGGGGTCCAATTCTACAGGTCCCCAAACAGGTTGCCCCCATCCCCTCCATTGTTCTCTATAATGGGAAGAAAAAAAGTTACTTTTTCCCCACGGTGCTGTTAGTTGCTCTGGGGGGGAGGGGGTTTGAGGGAGAGGCTCCAAATTTTCAGGGTAGCTTTAGGAGCCTCTCCCCACATAAACTCCCATGTCCCAAAGCAATTGGACCAGTGGACCCAATTCTATAGGCACCCAAATGGGTTACCACCATTACCTCCATTGTTTCCAATGGGGAAACCCAGCCAGCAGCACTTAAGGCAGGCAAGCAGGGAAAGTGAACTGTCTTGGGAGGTGCTTGTTTGCCATGAGAACAAGTGGCACACTCCAGAACAAGTGGCACTGTGGCAGTGCAAGCATGCCACAGTGCCACACAGAAACCCCAAAAGACCAACAAGAACATTTATACAGGCCCTGCCCTATATAAATTGATGGTGCAACCGCATTGGACCACTCACACCACACACACCTAGAAAAGAATATTTATAGCACTGGAAGAAACTGCAGAAAAGGGCAACTATAATGATAAAAGGAGGACACTTTCCTTACGAAGAAAGGTTAAGGCGCTTGGGGATCTTAGCTTTGAGAAACAATGACTGAAGGGTACATGATAAGAGGTTTACAAGGCTGTGCATGGGATAGAGCAGGTAGAGAAAGAAGTACTTTTCACCCTTTCTCACAAGACAAGAACTCGTGGGCACTCAATGAGATAGCTGAGTACTCAGGTTAGAAGTTAGAACAGATGAAAGGAAGTACTTCTTCACCCAAACAGTGATTAACACATGGAATTCACTGCCACATGAGGCCCCTCCCATGTGCTGGCTTCCCTGGAATGGTGGGAGAACCCATGGAACTTGCTAGCAGGGGCACCTTTCCACCCACCTCCACCATCCATGATCATCACTACGGATGGGGTCTCTCTGGGGCTGGGGTGCACATCTCAATGGCCTGTGCATGGGATCCAATTGGGAGACACATGTGGCCCACAAACACATCATAAGAACATAAGAACATAAGAGACGCCAATGTTGGATCAGGCCAAAGGCCCATCCAGTCCAACACTCTGTGTCACACAGTGGCCAGAAATACTAGTGCCATCAGGAGGTCCAGCAGTGGGGCCATCAACTTCCTAGAACTACTGGCTGTCAAATATGCCCTCAGATCATTTCACCACTTGGTGTCCCAGCAGACAGTAGCTGTCCTGATGGACAACACCATGGTCTTGTACTATGTCAATCATCAACAACACTATGGTCTTGTACTATGTCAATCATCAAGGTGGCACAGTATCAAGAAGTCTGTGTAGACTAGCTCTGGAGATTTGGGATGAGTGTCAATCCCAGGATGTTTTTCTGGTAGCAGCTCACCTTACTGGCTCCCAAAACATGACTGCAGACTTCCTGAGTGCAGGGTGGGGGGAGCGTCATTACATGAATGGGAACTCAACTGGAAATATCTTCAGCTGGTGTTCGACAGGTGGGGACAACCAGTGGTGGATGTCTTTGCAAGAAGACAAAACAGGAAATGCAGCCTGTTCTGCTCCAGAGTGGGAATAGAGCCCCTATCTCTAGGAGATAGTCTCCTCTACCCATGGTCTCACCATCACCTGTTCATCTTCCCCCCGATCCCCCTACTCACCAGGGTGATCCACAAAATCATGAGGGGGGCTCCAAGATGCATCCTCGTGGCCCCATGGTGGCCTCAACAGCACTGGGTTCCCATTCTGCC